GTACTTTTCAATCCACCCTCGTATATATTTATTTTTCTTTAAAATGATAATTAAATAAACGTGATATTATAGGGCTTCTTACTTCTGTCACAAGGAAAATGCATTTATCTTTCAAATCTGATTAAGTTTGTTTTGTGGGTTCAGGCACAACACGGTCTATCTCCTACAAATATTGCATTGTATAAGTTACCTATCTGTATTTTAAGCTTATGACATTGATAGAATTTCGTCAGATGAAAACGTCTGCCAGTATCCAGACGATTTTGACTCAGTCTGACATTAATGCGTTTTTAAGTTTCGCGCTTTTGACTCACTCATGATCTTATAATGAATGCCATTAAGAGTATGAGTAACTCATTTATTTAATGGTATTCTAAAAATTGCTAATAGATTCTTACCTACAAATTTGTGTTTTTAAAACAAAGTAGCTTAAAGACTTAAAGTTTTCTTACAATACAATTAGGCTTGAACCAAATTCGCGTTATTTTGCATCCATTATGTTTTCATATTTTGGTTCTATCAATAAGCATAGGTATTCTGCCAGAAACAGGAAGAGATTTCTAGACCCGTTGTTGGTCAGCGAATTTAAATTCTATTTGTTTAACAAATTAAAAAAAAAAATTTTTATTTTTACGTAAACATTAGTGCTGACTAAAATTGCGACTCTGTAGACAGGTCGGTGTTGCCGCATTGTAGACAGGCATTTAATAAAAATATGGTATAAACAAAAAAGTGTGCCGCTTAATAATTCGTTAGCAACAGTGGGTCGTGTACGGCGGGCGCGGGAATGTAATTCCAAATATTTCCGGCGAAGCTCGTACGAACATCTCGTATGTTGGCTATTGAAGGCTGAATGCTTGTTATCGAATGATCTTATTAATATAGGTAGGTACTGGCTGTTTTTCAATACTTAATTCGCGTGGATGTAACATGATCGTGATGAGACGTATACTAAAAAGTCAAGGTCAAACATAACATTCCTTAGTTTTGTTTATACAAAACTCATAAATTCTTATGTTATTGAACCATGAAAAAGAAAGATGTTAATAAGTAAACTATTCAGATTTCTATGTGTGGTGCCAAGCCCATTTTTCCTTAAAATTTTTATAAGTATATTGTATAAGTAATATACATAAGTCAGCGGGAAATTGTTAAATAAGATTATGAGATGATGCCATTTCCTGATATTCCTACATTACATAATCTCAGACAGGTCGTTTGATGTTAATCTAATTTTGGTTGGCCGTGGATTTAGTCACACTCACATCATAGTCTTATAAATGTTTGTTTTTTCTCTGAGCGAAGCGAGGAGCGTGTTTATAGAAAACTAATTTCAATAGTATAACCACTTGAAACACCACAAACAATTATTTAAAAATTCAAGGATGATCATGATTTTAACCTATAGTACAGATTTTTTATACCTACACAAGCATCAGTCTCTCACAAGTTCCAGGTAACCAGTCTGACACTTAATAATTTTGCTTTTCCTTTTAAAAAAAAAACGTTACCCCCATACTATGATTTTCTCCTGTATCGTGGAGGCAGTTTACAAACATAGATTGCACGAGGACAAACATCTAGACCCGGAACAATTATTTGTAGGCCATACAAATACACGTTCCGTGCGGGATTCGAAGCTGCGGCCCCAGCACAACAATTCATTGCTAAGCCACTACGCCACGGAGCCGTAAAAGCAATAGGTAGAGAAAATTGGATTCATTCATTCATTCATTTTCTAGTTATAGTCGCCATATTTTCGTGAGACAGAGGGATCTCAGAACCTCTAGCGGTAGGCAATTATTTTCCGACAAGTACACGTGGTCTGCCAAACTATTCAATGTCCGAAAATGATTCTGATATCATCGGCCTTAGTATTTTTTTTTACGAAATAGGAATAACTAAATAGGTATATGTAGATAGGCATATTATCATGAAATGCCGTCATTTCATGATCTACCGAGACACATCATTATCTGTCTGATCATACGGTCCGATGAGGACAAACATAAAATTGAAAGTAGTCTTCAAGAGGCCTTGGACTGTTTGACCGTTAATTATATAAGAATAGAAACTTGTTTTTATTAAAATACAAAAAACGAAATGTATTATTTTAAGATTTTAAGTATTAATCATTAAAGTCCTAATATTAAGGAAATTATTGCCTCGGCTATATTAAATACTATCAAGTATGCAAATACAATAAATAACATATATGTGATCTTCAAACTACTGATCTATTCAAAACCAATTCTACGATTTCTAGACTTGATATTTTTGAGTGATATATCGGTCCTATCAAATTAATTTTGAATATTAAATAAATTAAATAGAGAATATTAAATTAAATAGGGAATAGATATTTAATAGAGCGAGATAATATATGAATAAGGAAATATACCAAAGAACTAAATCAGCCACGTAGATTTTTTGTATTTTCTAACTAAAATGGCAATACGTAACAAAACCATTGTCGCGTATGAACCACTGTTACTTATTCTAAAGTGCATGGTACGGTTAGATAAACGTAACGATTAACCGCAAAGTCAAAGTGAAGATTAATTGTCTGCCGCAGTCTAAAGATTACAAAATCTCATTTACATAGGTATCATAAACGGTGGTAGATTAACATGTACACGAAAAAAGCTTGTTATTTATCTCATCTCATATTAAAATTAATTGCCTACCTTCTTTGCAAGGAGGTAATGTATCGACTGTTGACTCATTCTACTCCGCATATTGAGTAGGTTTTCAATCTATCAGCGTTCAATAAAAGTCTCCCACGAGACCACGACCTAGTAACCGATGTTTGAAAAGCTTATGACACACTTGTTCGGATCTCTAGTGTAAAACTAGCATGCAACTAGCATGCTATTAGGCGGCTTCATTGTAGAAGCGTTAATTAAGTGATGATAACAAAATAACATTGTGAGAATAATTACGTTTTTTGTTGCGCAATTAAGTTAACACCGATAAAAAAAGTGTTTAGCCGGTAATTATTATAAACCAGATCAATTTTTAACGAACTTTTTAAGTATTAATTCTGTAACGGAAGAGTTTTAGATATTCTATAGTCGAAACATTTTTGTGTTATTGTGCATTGGGATAATCGCTTAGTTTATTGATTGATGACTGGCTGGCTGCCTAATTGTTTATTTGGATTCGAACCAAATTCAAATTTATTATTTGCGATTAAATAGGTCGGTACAAATATTTTTTTTCTTTGTGTTAATGTGTTAGAAAACTTATTTAGCTGTGTCATGCAAATGTATTTACAAAATCTGTTTTATATGTAATGAACAAATAATTGAATTCGGATCTGGTCACGCAATACTGCATTTGATTCTGATTGTATCTGGTCGTGTCTCTAACAATGGATTTAAAGTCCCTTGGTTAAATCGCTTTTAATCAGACTACGGAAGTGTTTTTACCAAAGCCAACAATATGTCCTACGCACGCAAGGTTTTTCGACTTTCATTGTCATATAACACTAATAACTTCTTTCTGTTTGTCTTAATGTGTTTTAGAGTTACTAACCCAATTAAACAAAAATTTTAATCAAAGTTTAGGAGTTTTAGGAGAAAATTCTTTTGGTACAGATCCTAATTTTAAGAAAATATATTACAAATATATAATAATACACTTTATACACATGTAATAGGGATAGGTATGCAAAAATAATTCAACTTTAATTTTGAATGGAGTATCAATATCATTAATGGCCCGTGCCTTTAGTAAGTAAATCCATTAGGTACTCCATAACATCCCGTGGGTATCGTAGGAGGCGACAAAGGGAAATAAAAGAGGAGATGGTCAGCAACATTTTCCTGATAAAAGCTCAAAGTAATAAAAAAACTGTAGTTCTCAACCCGCTTGTCAAGCTGGCAACTATGGTAAAATCCCCGCTAATACTGAAGTGAAGCAGATCTCCGCTCGGTTGGTTCAACCGGGGAAGAACTACGTTCTCACAGAATACCGCGTAAAATTGCAGCTTAATGCTGCTGTGTTTCGTATGGTGAGTGTAGAGAACCGGAGACTCTTTTTACTGGAAACCAGGGATTCCATCTTAGTTCTCAGACAACGCATCTGCATTTTAAATCTTAATGTAGATGTGTGTATGTGAGCTATTGCATCCACTTACCATCAGATGGACTGTGTGCTCGTATTTCACCCATATACCATAAAAAACATCTAATACGTGGTAGAGCCATGCTGCAACTATATTAGTAGTAGGTATAGTTGTAGCACGAATGGGTCGGCTCGACCGGGGAAGGACCACGCTCTCACATAATACCAGCGTAAAATAGCAGCTTAACGCTGCTGTGTTTCGCATGGTGAGTGTAGAGAACCGGAGACCCTTTTTACTGGAAATGTAGCATTCCATCTTAGTCCTCACGGGTGACAACGGATTTGCATTTTGATTTGTAATAGAGGATAGATGTAGATGTTTATGGGCCGCAGCAACCACTTACCATCAGGTGGACTGTGTGCTCGTTTGTCACCCTATCCTATAAAAAATAATAATAATATTTGATTGTCGCGCTTGATAGCCGACGATCGACTTCAGAGTATGCATGTATGTATGTACTCTAAACAATCAACGTATCACACATCTTGCAACTTTGATGCTGCTAACATTCGCCGATGTGGAAATTTTACTATTGTAAACGAGATGGTATACCGCTATGTATCGTAAGATAAAATACTTTTCTGGAATTATCGATAGTCGCCTCTTACGACGCTTTCAGGACGAAATTTAATGATACATTGTCTTAGGCCGAAGGTTGAAAATTGTCAAAAAAGCCGCACCCACCTCTTTGATAAGTAATAATAATCACTGTAGACTGTAGCATTAGAGTTTTAAGAAATATTAGAGAAAGACTTCAGAGCGAAATCTTAACCCCTAATTGATGTAAAAGGCATCAGCGCAATTTTTTGATAAATTCAGTTCCTATGTGATCGTGGAAAAAATAATTGACCTGATGTTTTATTGCTTACAGTTAACCGAAGAAGTGCAGAGGAAGCAAAGTGAATACCAGAAGTGCCTCGAATCCTACAAGCAAATGAGGGCAAAGTTCGAGGAGAACTATCTTAAATGTAAGTGTAAGTTTATCCTTCAATCATCCTAAATATATTATTATTATTAATCATAAGTCAGTGTGATTTATCACCATCGGCATTGTCATTATTACCAGACTGCGAACTCAAAAGATCGTGAGTTCAAATCCACCATTCGAATACTGAAGCGAATCACTTCTCTAACACAAGCATTTTAAGCATACTCACTTCACTCCTGGAGTGATTAAAGGGAATATTAGTAATGTTAAATGCATTTCTAGTATTTAAAAAATATTCATTCATTGCAGCATTTCATGGATGACTAAATAGGGATATATACTTGTCATAGTTGCCACACTTGGCATGCAGGTTGACAACCGCAGTACCACCGCCCATATGCTACTTTATTTTTTTTTATAAGTTTATACTAAATATAAAAAAATAATAATATCATTTCTCATACATAACATAACTATACCTACGTAACTCGCTGAATAGTGATTTCTTATATTTACGCGAATACAACACATGGAATAAAACTAATTACCTATACGGATTTTATTGCGTTTAATTTTAGCTTTTTTGATTCCCGAAGTTTCTGGCACTTTACAACACCCGTGGTCACGGGGGAGGACTAAGGTGTTTGAAGTCCTGATGTCACAATTAGCGAAGGTACCTTTAACTTTTAATTATAAATTTTTGGTCCGATCTACGCATAACGATCACGTCTTGAACTCTAGCAGCGCTATACTGGAGTTTGTATTTAATTTTATTAATTATGCGATCCCTAGAAGCCATCTTCTCTATTGGAAATAGGATGTTTTTTTTAATTTCAATATCCTCGCGAATTATCCTTGGTAGAAATCGGTGTTCTTTTCCGAGAATTTGTGGTCTATCAAATTGTTTTCACGGCGTATGATATTATACAAACAAGCAATGTCTTTCATTCCAAATATCCCATTGTATTTTTTAAGTTTTACTTAAAAATATGATGGTAAGCGGAAACCCATTTTAGTGCTTTATAGATGCCTATAGATCACAAATGCATTAACACGATTGTGCTTTTAAAGGTGGCGTAAGAAAATCCATCAGCTCATTTCGATTTTTGGATGTTGTTTTATGGTAACGAATCTGAAAAGGGAAATGGTCTATATAAAGATCTTATGTATGACCGTTGACGGGAAGTAATGTTAAATATGCGGAGATGATCTCAAATATGCTCTCTTTTTTAGGTAAATATAGCAGTTACTTAGCTATTGAAAGTATAGTTTTGGTGATGATGATGATGATCCGTGTAGTGGCGGGTAAGAATACCCACTACCCCATATCTTCCCGTGGGTGTCGTAAGAGCCGACAGAGGAAACTGAGGCAGAAAATGGGCAGCAGCATCTTTCTGATAACAACAAACAACAATAAAAAACTGCGGGCCGATATACCCCCCCCCCCCCCCCCCCCATGAATAAAGTTACGAAGAGACGGCCCCTAGTCCCCGGCGGTCTCGCTATTCCTGGCTACGGAGGCGACCGTGGTAACGGCGGGGCAGGGGGTGCTAAGAATCTCCGGTGGAGGTTCGGTTGCGACCTAAGACGACTCGACCTGGCAACATATAACGCACGCACCCTTAGGACTGACCAGAAGATCCTGGAGCTGAAAGAAGAGATAGACAGTTGCGCAGGAATATTATAGGATTATCCGAAGTCCAAAGAGAGGGGGAGGACACGGTAATCCTCGAATCCGGCAACTTGCTCTATTACCGGGAGGGCGACCATCTGTCCCAAGGAGGTGTCGGATTTATCGTCCACAAGTCTCTCGTTAACAACGTTGTAAAGATTGAGAGTGTGTCGATGAGGGTTGCGTACCTTATACTCAGAATCACCAAATGGTATTCGCTGAAGGTCATAAAGGTTTAAGCACCAACCTCTGCACATCCTGACAAGGAGGTGCAGGAAATGCAGGAGGATATATCTAGAGCCTTGCATTCCTCCAAAACACACTATACGGTGTCGTGAAGCGACAATAATATATCTAACCTAAGAACAACAAAACAACAAAAATACAACAAAAACAAAAATATATTCAAAATTCAAAGATATTTACAATTTTATAAAAAAAATGAAATGAGGATGATGATGAATGAAGTGAGATGATGAGATTACAAAAGAAAAATAAAGGTAGGAGAATAGGGGAATCTAGAGTTGTAGTGGAGCCTAAAATTCGAAGCGACACACGTTGCGATTGTAGTGGTAGGTTTCTTAGCAGCGACGGCACGCAGCGCCTGAAGCCAGCACACGCCGGTTGCGCTTGTAGAGGCAGGTTTCTTAGCAGCGACGGCACGCAGCGCCTGGAGCCAGCACACGCAGCGTCCGGAGCCGGCGCACGTAGCGCCTGGAGTAGGTGCGCTCAACGCTTAGAGCCAGCAGTTGCAGCGCCCAAAGGTAGCGCCGGCGGTAGGTGCACTCGGCGCCTGGAGTAAGCAGTCGTAGCGCCCGGAGTAGTGTGGCCCACCGCGCTTGAAGTAGACTGCCGACGACTTCCGAGGTAGATGGAGGCTTGTAGGATTCCGGAGTGGTGCGGCTCCGCGCTTGAAGAAGGCTTCGCCGAAGACTTCACGTGTAAGTGGAGGCTTGCAGGATCCCGGGGCAGAGCGGCCCCGGGATAAGGCCTTTAGGAGATACTTCCAATTCGCGAACTGAAGCGAGACTGCCTTTCTTCACCGATTGTTCGGCTTTTATACCTTTCTAGAGAGAACGGAAAAATTATTTAAATTAAACGCAAATTTTTTGTAAATGGTCAAGAGAAAAGAGTATTTATGTGGAATTATCGAAATAGGAACGACAGATCGGTAGCAAATTTGAATATAATTACTATGGAAACGAAATAAATAACAATGTCAAAACATGTCAAATTTTGGTTTTAGGTTTATAATAAGAAAACGGTAAGATTTAAGTGGAAAATGAGATATTATTGATATAGGAAAAAAGGTGGCGCAGCTGCCCACACAAAGCCCGAGATTGTAGAGTTACGGAAAACTAGCTAAAAGATCGAAAAAAGGTAGACTCCATTGACACCAATTTAAAAGTGCTGATAATGTGGAAATACGAAGTAGAAATGATTTGTTATTGTGTTCTTATGGTTTAAAATCGTTACAGGATCCTATGGAAATAAAGGTGATGTAAAATATCCAGTTTTGAGGTGAATGCAGAAAATCGAAACAGAATGGAAAAATGAATTTAAAATAATGTAAAATGATATGTAAGTAGCATAACACTACATTTTCCCCCCGACCCTGGAAAATTTTTGACTCAGCAAAATTTTTGATATATACATTCTAAAATAAACCATAAAAACACAGCTTTGCAGAAACAGACATCACCAGGCAAAATCAGATATACTATCTCTTACATTCATCATCTGCCATTCAGGTAAGGGTGGAGTTCACATTCAATGACTACCACTCTAAAAGTGTGTTTTCGAAAGGACATTCAGGCTTATTTAAGGAGTTGTCATCCGCTCCTGCGTGGAAAAAAAAATTATTAAGGGAGTAGTCACCACTCTAAAAGAGTGTTTTCGAAAGGACATTCAGGCTTATTTAAGGAGTTGTCATCCGCTCCTGCGTGAAGATAAAAAAAATTATTAAGGGAGTAGTCAGCCGCTCCCAAGTGAAGATAAAGATAAAGAAATCAATCTTAAGCAAGCTTTAGTCGCTATGACTTAAGTAAAGATTAAGAACGGCCAGAGCGGTAGGGCTCAAAGCCAGAGATCAGCAACATCACTAGCGAGATGTGTCTGAAATAAAAAGTGAAGATTAACCAACGAAAGTTCGAGGTCCTAAAGCAAGATGTGTTGAAGAACACTGGATCATCAAACAAACAAATTAATTAAAAGAAATAAAAATAATAAGGTGAGAATGATGGTGATATTTATACATATATACAAATTAACAGTTAATAAATGTTTAGATATTTATACATATATACAAATTAACAGTTAGTAAATGCTTAGAAAAGTTATGAATCGTCTCGCTTCAGCTTTGAAAAACAATTTTATATAAAGTGTAAAGTTAAAAGTTAAGTTTAAGAAATAAAGATTTAATTGAAAAGTTATACCTCTTTAAGTTACCTAGAATAAAAATATTAAAGTGATGAATGTAAGTGTTGTGTGAAATGTAGGTCTAAATATAATCCAGATAAGTTGAAAAACTAGATGAAGTTTTGTTCTAGAATAAAAATATTAAAGTGATGAATGTAAGTGAAGTGTTAAATGTAGGTCTAAATATAAGCCAGATACGTTGAAACACTAGATGAAGTGTTGTTTTAGAATTTGGAAGGTATGAAAAGGATGAATAAATAAAGAGTTAAGAACGAAAGGGAGAGCAATTAAATCAAAAGGGAATGGACAAGGCGCAGTAAAGGTGAAGAATTAAGAGAGAAAGAGGACTTTTACGTTGGGCGCCAAATGTCGTGAAGCGACAATAATAAATCTAAAAGAATCTAACCTAAGAACAACAAAACAACAAAAATACAACAAAAACAAAAATATATTCAAAATTCAAAGATATTTACAATTTTATAAAAAAAATGAAATGAGGATGATGATGAATGAAGTGAGAGTACAATTAGATTACAAAAAAAAATAAAGGTAGGAGAATAAGGGAATATAGAGTTGTAGTGGAGCCTAAAAGTCGAAGCGACACACGTTGCGATTGTAGTGGTAGGTTTCTTAGCAGCGACGGCACGCAGCGCCTGAAGCCAGCACACGCCGGTTGCGCTTGTAGAGGCAGGTTTCTTAGCAGCGACGGCACGCAGCGCCTGGAGCCAGCACACGCAGCGTCCGGAGCCGGCGCACGTAGCGCCTGGAGTAGGTGCGCTCAACGCTTAGAGCCAGCAGTTGCAGCGCCCAAAGGTAGCGCCGGCGGTAGGTGCACTCGGCGCCTGGAGTAAGCAGTCGTAGCGCCCGGAGTAGTGTGGCCCACCGCGCTTGAAGTAGACTGCCGACGACTTCCGAGGTAGATGGAGGCTTGTAGGATTCCGGAGTGGTGC